AGGCGTGGTACATAGGCGTCGGATCAGATGTAGGTAGGGCGGAATTAAAAAAAAAATCTCAAAATCAAAGTAAAATAATAAAATAAAAAGGCATTAATAACAAAAGTAATACAAAATAAAATTAAAATAAGTTTATAGCCAAAATAATTAAAGCCCGTACACTACATCAGATTTTAATCAGATTGGTAAATACCAATCTTTTCTTGAGGTGTTAAAGGTATCAAGTCTCTTCCCCCAAATGAGATCTTAGAAGTATCAAGTTTTTTTTAAAAACCCGTAATACACCTTTGCTATAAACTAGTAGCGCCCTCTAGTGACAAGAAGTTTCTGTCATGTAAAAATGTCGTTTTCTTTGGTTGTATTGATATTTGTCATTTAGTAGCACTGATTGCAACGAAAAAACAATGATTTATTTCCTAAAAACTGCCGATTCTCAATTTCCGAAAAGTAAACGATGGTTAATAGTAACCGTGGGTAAACTGAGTGTGGAGGAAGAATTTAGACACCTTTCACGGTCGCCAACATGTCAAATCGTTCAAACCCTAGGCCTTTCATGATAGTCTCAAAGTAAATCATGCCCAATGACCAGGTACACGACTTAACGATCACATTTTTGGTTTTTCGAAAGCTACTACTCAAAGAAATATGGATTACTCCAGTATTGCAACATCAGGGTTCATCCTGAGTAAATGACAGATTAGAAATGATGCGAACCACATTGTGTACGTTCGCCATGCACTCTGAAATTAATGCGAGTTTTCTCATAAAAGCACGAACCAAACTACCATGCCAATCACGATTATTATGAAATGAAAGGCCCAGTAAAAACATTCTGGGCTTATAATTGTCAATGCCCTCAACTCGATAAATACCTAGTAAAAATAGAGGGATGGGTTTCATACTCGGGAGAGGCTTACGATCGGGGAAGTACAGTACTTTAACGCAATTGGGCTTCCACTCTCAGAATACTGTGGTTCAAACGCATAATACTCTAACCCAAGTTCTAAAAACACATTGTGCATATAAAAGTTGAGTTTATACTAGTAGTACACAATTCTTGGCAGCATGAACGGCTATGTACAATGGCGTATACGAATGTGATCAGATACTAAAACGTCATAGCTTTGAAAAGTACCCGGATGTTAAATATGTTCGTTCGTTATTTATTCCCCTCCATGAATGGACTCCATGGTGTTTAATTGAAGCACTACAAATGCCTATCCAAGCTACAGTTATAATTAAAACAAAATTAAACCACTGCAATATTATTTCGAATACAGTTTAGAATATACACAACTATAAATTAAGGCCACATTACAGCCTAGAACATAAAAACAAAACAAATTTACAATATTACAATATTTACTACAAAATAATTGTTGGTATACACTTACTCAATGATTCTTTCTTTGGGGTTGAATGAACCCAATGAATTGAGACCAAGTCTATCAACAACCTGTAATCAAAGATTAAAACTTAGTATCACCAGCCCATGTTAGTAATGATAACAATATGTAGCAATACCAATCAGCACTTGACCAAAGTCTATCTAGGACAAAAAATTATTCAAATACCACAGAATAGTTTCACAATGTTATATTGTTAACTGATCAAATCTTATGAAGATGAATTTCCCAAAAGTCAATGTGAATCGTTTTTTTGGAATATTAGAAGCAGTTTAATACAGTACATAGTGTATAATGTGAGAAATATTTTAAAAAGTCAAGTGGATTTATGATTAAGAAATAATTGTGGTGAAATAAAATTTACCAGTCTAATCTTTTGATCTTCTTCAAGGATGAAAAGGTTTTCTTTTTTCATGTAATAATCAGCAGCCATCAAGATAGCTTTCAGTGGAACTAATCCAACAATCTGAGAACCACAAACCGCCCAATTCAGTTCCTGTGAACACAAATATGGTAGAAAATCCATGATGTGTGTTACATTACAAGTGATACTAAGACATGATTTCTTGCATAATGTGTTATCTAACTCCTACTACTGCTGGTGAATTTGGAAGGATTTTTCTGGCGTTTGAGAGCTTAGTTATGTATGTGTAATGCCACTGAAACTGTATGACAGTTGAGCTGGAAATCACTCTAAAAATAAACAAAAACTTTATAATAAATGGATACATAGAATTCCTGAAAAACTTGCTCAGTACAACTCATAAATCATAATAAAGTTCTATGCAACAAAAGATAAAATGCTATCTAGGATAATATACTGAAAATCTCCCAACCTATCATAATGGCATTATAAGGAATTAATTTTCAATCCAGATGTCAACCAGCACCTGTTTATTATGGCTTGTGGCTTTGGGATGCGCTTTGGTATGCGCTTTGGTATGCTAGCCCAGGGTACAGCAGCTTTGTTCTGTACTGGTAAATCATTTATATACTCACACTGGCTTCTTCACTGGCTTCTTCAAATACAGTGTGCATACCAGTCACTTCAAAGTCAGTCAAATTAGAGGATAACTGTGCCATGTTAGCTTCTTCCAAATACCAACCAATAGCTTGAACACACTTGAGTTTTCCTGGCTACAAAGCAGTACAATGAAGGGTTTGTGTTTTGTCATCACAGCTTGACCTCAAAAATGTATTTCAGAGGTAAGAAAATCCAGTGGTCAGAAGTCTTGGAATGGTCTGGGAATGTTTATTTTCTGGTTCAGACTAATCCAATTCTCCCTTTAACCTTTCTAACACAATCAGTTTTCTCACCAAATATTTTTATGTATTTTTCTTTTATTTCTCTGATAATTTTTGGCCAAATTCACAAGTTAGACAGACAATTTATTCAATACCAAGACCATCAATACACTCTTAAATGTGCCACAAGAACTGACTTATTTAGAATTATAATATAAAAAGAAATTGATATTGTCCTGACTGACAACACAATTACAACTACGTTGTACAATTTCTGCAAATATATTTTTCTGTTTTTATTGACTAAAACACTATTGTATTAGATTAATCAATATATATTGCATTTATTTCATTTTAAACATCTAAAAACAGAATCTATTCATGCTGATTTCTGAATATTTAAACACACCTCTTCCGGCCCTCTTCCTTGTTCTCTGATATTCAATGCAATCCTGTGAGCTTGCTCTTTGGTAGATAATAAATTCACATTGTAAGCAATCAAGAACTTCCTGGCTCCAGTTGCCGTGGCGCCCCATGTAGGTACAAAGTCAGCTGGACCAAAGTCTGGCTTCCATTCAGGCTTTAGAAGCTGTAATTGCATGCCATGAGGAGAAGTAAATATTAATCACTTGTGATTAGCTTATGATGTGCTGTAAACTCGTGACAAACAAATGTAATGAAAATAAATGATTTAGGAAAAACAACTGAATCGTGAAGCACTGTGTGAGTTGCTATGACTGTTAGCAGTGAACATTTCATTTGGGATTATTAAGACAGTGAGTCACATTGACTATAGTAGCAGTGAACATTTCATTTGGGATTATTAAGACAGTGAGTCATATTGACTATAGTAGCAGTGAACATTTCATCATTTCATTTGGGATTATTAAGACAGTGAGTCATATTGACTATAGTAGCAGTGAACATTTCATTTGGGATTATTAAGACAGTGAGTCATATTGACTATAGTAGCAGTGAACATTTCATTTGGGATTATTAAGACAGTGAGTCACAGTGACTTTTGTAGCAGTGACCACGTACTGTGTGCTGACTGGGCTTTGGTTTGTCAGAATCCTCACTATTTATAGCCCACACAGCATTATAGAGCACTGGTTCATGTCTTGCATGCATCTCTTAGTTCATTTCTAGCAGTATAACAGGTTTCAACTACCGTACATACAGATGTTGGTGTGATTTTTACATTGTCACAAATAAATATGAGAAAGTATGCAAAAAACTGATCTTCATTATAATCGTTTCCTTGCAAATTTTATTTTTAATCATCAGATCCATGTGTCCATGGTCCATGTGCAAATTTAGTTTTTCCTTTTGTTTTGACACCATCAATCAGAAGGTAAAACATCCAAAATATATATATATGCATTTACTGGTAGCTAGTGGACAGATATTTATAAAATGACAATAGAGACATCTATTGTTCATCCAAAAATACATATTTATACCATTTAAATTTTCCACACTTTTTTATCTGAAAACAATATGTGTGCAAGGAGTCAACTGAAATACACATAAAGACAATATGCTATACCTTATCAGAGAAACCCTCGTATTCACCAGATCTAATCTGGGGCAGTGTCAATCGATGTTCTTCGGTTGCCGCTTCAGCATACAAATAAACTAAGGTAAACAAAAACATGAAACAGTTAATAAAAAAACTGAGAATATTTGTGTTTTTTCAACTAATTTCAAATAAAAAAAATTGGGTAATTATGAAATGAATCAGTCATTTTGAATCAGAGCGTAAATGAATGCATGCATGCATGTATAATCAGCTAAAGACAATATGGCGCTGGAACAGCATGTTTTATTACAAAATGTCAATCATCTGGCCAATTTGAATCAGACATAAGCAAAAAGTGTTCCTGTACACTGATTTATTGGGGGCTGATCAATTCAAAACTATTCTTCATAACCTGTCTAACAAAAGATTTATTTTTGAATATTTATTGATATTTAATATTATTTATTTGCTAATTAAACTGGACAATGTAATTGGTGGACACAAATATTTTTGAGGACATGAGAACAAGTCTCAGTGGGTAGTTAGCCTAAGGCCTGCCTTATTATCTAATGTGAAACCACCTACAAGCTACAAATATAATTTCATCAACAAGTCATCAACCATTTTGCATTTATTCAAAAATTGGATGACAATTGGTCATTTTGGCCTGTCTGGACATAATCTGAATGGGAGACTTATGGATTAACCACTGTAAGCCCTTATCTGTATCTTTAACATATGCCTAGACTGATCACATTCTAACATGACACATACATCATGCAACTTAATTGGGATTCATATGCACCTCCATCACTTCAATTTTCAAGAGGGCTGAAGGGAGTCATCTTGTGCGAGACTTTACTGGATCTTAATTGACAATTTACATATTATTTCGATTGAAACCTTATACATGGTTGCAGTTTATAGAAATCAATGTCTGACAATAACTCCTAATTAATTTTTGTATTTAACTCAGATGGGACAAAACTAAAAATTAAAGGTGGTTTCCCATTGGAAAATAAAGCCGTAGGCTTCACCAATTTTGTGTTGGTACACAAACCTAAATATATATGGCTGTGGGAGGAGTAAACTGGACTACAGAGGAAACAAAATCATTGATTGTTATATGAAAGGAAGATCAAATTCAAAGAATTCCCAATGGTACTTCCAACGACAGTATTACACTGAAAAAAGATCGCAGCCTGTTTGGAGATATTAAAATTTTGCCATTCAAAGAAAAAAAGCATATCCCAAATCAAATTGAATAGTGCATTTGTGCTCACTCTCCCCACCATCCATGACTCAAATTAGTTTATAGAACTCTAGGACGATTTAGGACACAATTCAGATTATGCAAACTATGTCTTTGCCAAGATTTTTTAGAGAACGCTTTAATTAGACCAGCCTAAATAATGAGGGTTTTGACTGTGTGAAAGTGAACCAATAAGCAATAAATTTGGGTACGCCTTAGGCAAGCTAAATGTGAAACAGACCCAAATGATTACTTAATTTATTGATGTTTATTCAAGCATTTAAACAGTAGCTTCAAAATGTAAGCCTTTACTTTGCCAGTCAGTTAGCAACTGGGCAGAAATTAATGTACCATGGTGGATGAAGAAAGTGGACCCAATAATTCATGAGCAATGGAATATGTAAATTTAATGAGACATTTTTTCAAGGACTTACCTGGAACTCCTAACTCTCCAGCCAATCGTTCACCGAATTCTTTGGCACAAGCCACACAGTCTTCCATTGAGACACCTCTGACAGGAACAAATGGACATACATCCAAAGCACCCATTCGAGGGTGTTCACCTAAATTAGAAACAACATTGTACAAACATTACCATAATGCGAAGGCCAGAATTCCTCATTTTTTTGATCTTGTTTAATAAATTAACATTGAATAGTTTGAGGTCATCTTGTATTTTGGCATTCAAATGTAATTTCACTGACTAAAATGATTGGTAAACATGTGCAAAATAAGGGCCAGCATTCTTTTTCCCTGCATATAGTGTTGAACATCAATACAGCACATTATTGAACAAGTGTACAGTACTTTGACACCAAAAAGTTGTGTATGTCGATCTTGTAAGGCCAAATAAAAAAAATATTATAGTTCCTATGACATTCTCTAATTTTAAAAAGCATTTTATAGAAACTACAAAATTAGAAATAGGAATTTTTTTTCTATATATTTTTTCTTGGTTATATCTGTGTTTTATTTGTCTTTCAGCATACAAGGACTGTTGTAGCAGATGAAACTCAAATCACATTAAAAGCCTGGCAATTATGGCCAAACAAGTTTAGAGTCGAGCGTTAAAAAAAAAAGGTAGGTCAGATTTTTCTTGGCCTAATTATATACTAGTACCAGTGGATATACCAGTTAACTAAATCCTATATCTCTTCTACAAAATGGCTAGCTCCCAGGGCAGGCTAAGAACAGGGAAATAATTGCATCTCTATCTCTGAGAGGTGTTACCCATCTTGGCTATAAAATATGTACCAAAATGGCTATTTTTGTTCCAATCTTCTGAAGGAAAGTGCAGACTATACACTGTACTATTTTGTGAATATGTAATGAAAAGAGGGAACTGGTTGTGAAAAGGTTAACTTGGGCAATGTAGGGCAGTGTCATTGACTCTACCCAACCATTCACATGCAAATACAGTTTATACCCAGTGAGTTCAACACAAATTTCCTGTTGATTGCCAACACATCTTTCCATAGTACAGCAGTATTACATTTCACATCATGGCTTGTGACAATTTCAATTAGTTAAATATTTATTGAAATTAAAAAAGTAAAATGTAACACATTTGATAGCTGAATTGTGTGACAGCTACATTGTGACCCCCTCCCCCCAAAATGTATGATAAATAGAGCAATGACCTGTATTCTTAAATCTGCAATTGTTGCCAGAAGATTTAAAATCATTTGATACTATAACAAAAAACATCACATAACTGAGACCTCCTCTGAGTTTTCTTTAAGCCAGTATGTTTGCAAACTTTGAATGTATTTGGTTTTTACATGAATTATACCAAATTTCAATCTTGGACTCCTAATAAAAAAATAAAGAAGAAATGCCCAATAAGATCTGATTTTATTGAGGTTGATGTGAACTCACCTGTATGTCGAGTCATATCAATCAGCTGGTAGGCAACCCTGGCACCATTCAGTGCACCTTCCACTACAGTATCTGGTGTACCTACAAACGTATAGACGGTACGATTCGTAGAAATGCCTGGATCCACATCTAATAATGATACACCTTCTGTACTCCCAATGGCATTGGCAATGGCTTCAATTACCTAGACCAAAGCATTAATTGTGGATAGAATGAGAAAGGCTGTATGTTCTGATTCAAATCATTTATAATCATTTGCATATTGGGCATTAACATTATCATGAAAGGTATATTTACTGAACATTCACTTACATGTATTGTATTCTATTCAAAAGCAGTATGTGAAATTAATTAAAAGTAAATCATTCATGTATTTACTGTATTCAAATTTCATTCTATTTATATTCAAAGTTTACAAAGTTTTTTTCATTCATCCGATTCTCTTTATTCATATCCAATTGAAAATTATTATATCCTATGATGTCCTAAATTTATTGACAGTATATTGTGAAATATTGCTGAGGAACAGTCACCATGTGAATTTTTTTGTATATTGCTGGAATGGTGACTAAAATCATCATCTTCATGATATGGTTGTGTGTTGCTGAGATTGATGACTAAAATTACCATCTTAATGGTGTGGTTGTGGGATTATCAACTAAAATCAGCATCTTCATTATCTATATGTATGATTATGATACCAAAATAATGAAATCACAAAAAATTTGGAAAATTTATAGGATTACAAGATATACATATACAGGATAAAGTGTCTGATTATGAGCAGCCAGGTTAACTTTCTAATGTTTTGTGCGACCTCTTCATAATAGTTTATTGTGCCCATGAACCATGTAAGAAATGGGGCAGTTGTACTTTCATTTCTGCAGCAACTGATACAAAATGTATCACTGTCATTCATTAGCATTAGTCAAACAAGTCGCAGTCACCCACTGACACTTTTTTGGAGACGACCCACAAAACAATTTTATTTATTTAATAACACTTGCACATTGATCCTTCTGAGAAATGGAAATAGTTAGAAATGCAGATAAAAAACACATGATACAGAAACGCTAAGACCAGCAGATACACACACAATAAATCAATGGACAAAGGTGCATGAAATTGATTCCAAAATAAGTTTTGATAAATTTTTGTACACTTCATTCAGTAATTTTTGTACATGTAATTCAGTGCATGAGTTAAGCCTCTGGTGATTCACTATCAAAATTGTGGATGCTATTAATATCTCACTGAAATCCTTGTGTTTAATGATTCTTTTGTGGTGCCCAACTTCAATTTGTGATTTCAAGTTTAAGATAGGCCTTCCAAGTTGAAACTTGGTTTTAAGTTTTATACATAGGTTCTGAGTTTTTCTTTTTATATTGGTTAAGGATCTGTTTTTTTAATGTAAAATTTGAGATTATTGTGGATTTGATTAATTTGGAATGAACTTATTTAATTTGATGCATTAATAAATAGATAGCTTTGGTTGGTGTTATTTTGGAAAGAGGTTGTGCTCAGATAGCATTTGCTATTAGAATGCTGTTAGCGTATTATTTAAAATACTTGTGAACAATTTGCAAAAGCAGATTAGTTTGTAGGGTCCAATTTGAATCACAATTTGAAAATAGGAATTGGAAGCTTGAATTGTACTAGTAGATTTTTCTTTCACACTTTACTAGAATGTTCTAAGAACAGAGAAGAAAATGACGCAAGCTGAAATTTCACATTGATTAAATTCATGGCTTTACAGACTTTTTAGCAAAAAAGGTCCAGGGCACCTGATATCGTAGTTTTCTTTACAGTCTTTGTATTGTATTGTATAGGTAGACAAAGCAAATAGATGACGTCATGTCCACACAGCCACTGTGATAATGCTGTTGAGACGAACGCTACAATTTCATGTATATTAATTAAAAATGTTTTTATTTTTAATTTTTAACTGACAGCCTCTTTATTCAAACTTGATTCCCAATTATACCTAGGTTAATTAGTTTTTTTAATGAACCTTAGCTACATGTACTAGTGACACATGCGTCATTTTCCTTTGCCACCATCTTTGCATCCATATTTTCATGGCAGTTACAATTTGCACTCAATTTCCAACTGTTTCTGATCACTATATTTCCTGCAGGATGCGACGCGACATAGCGGTTACCATGGAAACATTTGACACTAATATTCACAACTGGTGATTACGGGAGTTATTAGTTTTAACTGTCTCACTGACTCTAATAACGACCACCAAGTCCAGAGCTACTAACACCGGACGACTGCATTACACATACATGTCGAAAAAGCGTTAATTAAAGTGAAACTGAAAGCAAACAGACAAGTCGCTGACAATGTTACACTTGTTGGCCAGCCAAACGAGCCTGGAATGGGACTGCGGCGAACAGCGATCGACATGGACCACTGGATAGCAACTGTCCGAATGCGTATATTAAAATGAAATGCAGTATACTTACATCTTTATTTTGACCTTCTGAGAAGTTTGGCACGCATTCTATGATTCTGGACATTGTTGTACCTGTTTGAATTGTCTAGACACAGCAACTGCTCGCTGACATGCACGACAGTTAGAGAAGCTTGAACTTAGGTGAACTGGGTAGGGAGAGCATGCGTAAAACGTCATCGATTTGTGGTGTCACGTTACGGAATGGCGTTGCGATGACGTAGTCCACATCCGCCGTCTGTCATAAGATGATTCTTTCCTGTGCGGCGTTCATTTACTAGCATTTCCCCGTATGTTCAACCGATCGTGGGATTTAAGGACGCTCTTATCGACAACTGGTGAGTAGAAAACAGTCTTTAGTTTAGTCCAATATGATCTTATCAAACAGTTTTTGCATTTACGATGGGGACAAAATGACTAGCTTTCCCGATTTGTGTGAGTGTACGTGTGTATCAAGGTCGCCATTGATTGCTTGCGTCTATCGTTTTGCGCATTGTCTCGGCGCTTTGTTCTCCGCTGGGCCCGTGACCCGTGTCTCAAGAATTTAATTCAGACCACAATCTACCAAAATACAGATTATCGAGACCGTTAGCGACGCTGTCACGGCGCGCAAAAATATCGTTCAAGCGATGCCGTGTAAATACCACTTTAATTCGCCTCGATTAACTCGTAGCGGAGCACGTACATCGTGTGAGGCGTTAAATCACGAATGCCTTCTCTATTTATCTGGCAACGTACTGTCTGTACACCGACCTGGTTACACGAGTAGCTCTGATCATGAAAAATATACCGCATAGTGATCAACAGCCCCGATTATATATAGAACGTTACGTGTAACGTCTCCCTCTGTTTACTAACACCGTTAACGCTGCCGACATTTTTACTCATTTGCATAATTTTATAAACAAGATATATTTAATCAGTATACCTATGTACTATGTGTAGCGGTATTAACAACGCATATTTCAATGGCGGTTGATTTTAATCACAATTCCGAGATTGCCATGATTTTTTGGCATATTTGACTTTACTCTGGTTGTCTACAATGTAAATTTACTCAACTGAAAATGGTGGTTACTCACTTCCTCTTTTCCCCAGTCTGTAATAGTGTATTACTTTTTATTGTAAGGACAAAGAACGGCCTTTTCCTTCCTTTTGGTATAAGTAGCTCTACCTCAGTACCTGTTCCTGTATTATTCAGTATATTGATTGACCTTTATTCATGGATTGTAGAAAACACAGTTTATTGATACATTGACCCTGAGTGCCTGAACTCTAGGTCAAACACAGATGCTTTGTTTTGGTTACGCCTGATGGTTACAGCACATTGCGTAAACATACAACAAAATTAATTACAGCATTAATTACACTCATTACTAATACTACTCTTAAGGCATACAAGACTAGATAACTGTTCTGTGTCATGTTATATCCTGTCATATTGTGTTGCTACATGACAACAAAAAACACTTTCTTTTTAAACTACACTGTTGCGAAACATCAATCAATTTGTATTTACCGTAGCTATAAATATTTATTTTTTGTACCTAAATAAGGGTAGGGAACCAGTGTGGGTATACTTCATCCTATCACTACGGTAACAGCTAATTAGCTGTTTTGAAAATGGCTTGTACTATCTAATCATAAAATCTTATCAAATCATCTTGTAAAATATACTTAACAGAAGCTTCTCATCATCGTATAAAATATGCAATTTAATTTAATTTAATATAATAATTGTCAGCGAATTCAACATTTTAGTGTGAGCATTTTCTGCCACAAAAGATTGCTACATCATAATTACAATTTATAAAAGAAAGTGTAATTGCTTCAGATAATTTATTACCAATACACACTGTGATATGGATATATTATCAGGCGTACTACACTGAGTTCATGTAGGTTATCTGCATATTTCAGGGTTTCAGCTACAGTACATTACGTCAGTGTGATTGAGAATGATGTACATGTATCATTTCAAATTAATCCAGCAGTATAAGCTATACAACTAAAATATTTAAGTGACATTGAGTATATTTCTTCTTTAATGAAAATAAAGGTAAGTCGTATTACAAGTATTCATGGATGTCACATGACAATTCCAATTGGTGGCTGACACCACAGTGTTTTGCATATTTCCTATCGTATGGCCTGACCTGATAAAATCTATCAAACCAATTTGATGAGTGAGGAGAGAGACGGAGAGAGATGACAAGTTTGGATATATGTATTGCCCCTCACGCCCACCAAAGCTAATCACAATCACAAAGCACTGAGATTTAAATATAGATGGAATAATTCCTAGCTTTTGATAAAATAAAAATTTTCTATTTATTTATACACCATCAGTTTCCATATGGTTTTCTGATTCTAAATCACAATTCCAAATTTTCATTTTTTTTTATTAGATACGGTAGTCTGTACATGTTCGTTCATAGGTGATTTTTTTTATTCTTCATTTCCTGTGACTAAATGTTTAAAGAATGTTTTATGTCATTGTGATTTGTAATTGATATTAAGAATAATTAAAAACTAATAATGCATTGTCTCATTATCTAATAGTATTTGTTCTGATTACACATTCTTATTACTAAAAAAACTGACGTTGTCATAAAACAAGGTACTGTGCAGGAAAGATATCAAATGATATTTTCAACCCCCAAGTGAATCCTCAGAACAAAGCTCTTGTTTTAAATATGTCTGTTACTATATGTTTTCGCTTAGTCAATTGTTTGTCCAAGATCTTTAGGAATACTGTAAAACATTTCTTTTTTTATTCTTATTTATGTAATAAATGCATGTACAGCTGATCTTAAATTTTGCTAATTCAAGATGTAGCTAATTTGAAAGAGTATTTTTCCACAATAAGATTCCTGGCACTTAAGCTAATTTGTGCATTGTGCTAAATTTGCTAAAATGGCATGTACCGATAGCCATTTCAGAATATTTTACTCTAATTAGTCACATGACGTTACATTACGCTTAAATAACATAATTTGAAACAAACACTATTACTACCATCTAAGGAGTACAGGGTTCTACGCAGCCAGACTTTTGTCGATATCGTAATTAATATTTATGAATTTAATTAAAAAATTAATTAAATGTCGTTTGGAAACATTGCTTCAACTTCTGGATTGACATCTGTCCGTCCATGTGTGAGTGCATGCCTACTTCTATCATGAACTTTCCTTTGCTGATCACATACATCATACATTGCTGGATGGGGACCACTATTATGCTTCAAAATTCATCAAAATCTATCATTTCTGCCATTCCAGAACCAAATCTAAAATACATTACATTATAGGATCTTGATGAACATCATTTTGTTTTACAGATTGTATTTAAAATGGCTGAATGGTGGCCATTTTGTTTTAATGAATGTGGATCCAAAACTGTATTTCTAACATGCCTTGACTGATCATGTCCAAACCTTGTATATATTGTACGACTTGTCGTACACATGCACTTCTATTTGTATGACCATCAGATTTAGCAATTTCACCAATCCTCCCATCGATCAAATCGCATGGTTTCACTAAAGCATGTACATGCCTGTGGTCATCACAGATTAAAATAATGGCCGTGTGTAGACCAGAACAGAATGTCTATATTCGTTGACACATTTCCAAAAAATGTTATTTTAAGGTTGAAAATTGCTCGTGAGCAAGTGAATGAAGACGATGGAATGTCTAAATATTTGTGAAAATATTGTTTCAGTTAACTGACGAAACAGTCAAAACTGATAACATATCGACTTGCCCGATCCAGTCTTCGTTGCAACAAACACATCATTTCCTTCAGATACAGCACTAAGCGCTTTTTTTGATGGTTAGTTAGCTCATTCACAGAACAAAAAACTAGCAACGCGTTGATTTCTATATCCCACCATTTTAATTTTACCAAGTACATGTACCGGTACTACCGGATTCGGCTGATACCCCGCCCTGGGCGATCTTATGGAGGATTCGTTTTTTTTTTAGAAAAATGTGGAACAAAAGATCGCCCGGGCGGTCTTTTGGCAGATATTACGAGGCCCATCTTGTCTGGAAAAATAACCCTGCGTTGATAAAAATGGTATAGAAAAAATAATATTTCGCATTGACCAAATATAATCATGCAAAGTATAAATTCAAAGTATTTTAATACATTGGTGGGAGGTTGCATTTTACGTGAACAAGAACATGCACTAAGAAGAAAAAGCAAGTCAAAGTCGAAACGGGGTGCATCATGGACATGACACAACACACGCTGCGACAACTGGGTGATCAGCGACATCATTTTGGGACGCAATTGAACTTCAAGTACTTCTTTGCGAAACTTGCTGCGCGGCGATGCTGGCATCAAGTGTGTGTTGACCGAAGTTTGACCCCAAGTCACGCACTGAACTGGCGCGTTACCGTAGCAACCTTTTTCCTTTGTGGTCCGCGCGTCGATCTAGTAAAATTGTTATTATATCCGACGGTACTGTAATTACGCAACTTGTATGCAACTCTGTACTGGCTTTGAATATATCAACATCGTTTACTTAGTGCACTGCTTTTCTAATTACGCAAATTTGTTTACAATATTGTACCAGCTCTGAATATTTCAACTTTGTAATGTATTGCTTTCACGATAATTACGCAAACTCAAGTTAATTTTTACTATTGTTAGGATGCTGACCCGGGGTATTGGGTCTGTGAATATTTCAATATTAATGACTTGATAATGCGTTGCATTCGTAATAATTACGCAAACATAAACATGGGCGCATTTAAATCATTAAAAATGATAGTAGTCGGGTATCTACGGAAAGTCGAAAAAATATTTTAAATACTTGTGATTCATCGATGTTCCAATGGTGATTTTTTTTATTTGAAATAAAGTGAACATGTAATATAAACCATACCATGTGTCAAGTTAAATTTTACTATAATATAATAAACTCTGGACAGCGCACTTCGATTGCAATATTTACGTACATTTCGACTGAACTCTAATAACCACGCGTTTGAATTATGTGCAGTATTGGGCAATGACCTCAAGAGTTCACGCGCTGATATTTAAATTCGGGCCATCCAGCTTGACGCAAATCAATATATTTACTTGTCATGTGTTCAAAAATTCTTTCAACTCTCACAAATACCATGACGCGAAGAGTTAACTGGGGGTTAACTGAAAGGAAACATCTTTTTTGGACAAAAAACACGTCAGTACATGACCGCTTAACTCAGTGTTTTAATAATCATGTCGCATGTGAAACGCAGGAGACATTTTAGTTCGCCCAATTTCTTGTTTACCGACTTTTTGTCTGGAATGCGATACAGACAAAGATTAAACATTGCTGATATTA